GGTAACATTTTAAATTAGTAACATTTTATAGTAACATTTTACATTGGCAACATTTTATATTAGTAATAATTTACATTAGCAACATTTTACATTCGTAATAATTTACATTAGTAACATTTTACATTAGTAATAATTTACATAAGCAACATTTTACATTAGCAACATTTTACATTAACATTTTATGTTGGTAACATTTTAAATTATTAACATTTTATAGTAACATTTTACATTGGTAACATTTTATATTAACTTTTTCACATTTTACATTAGCAACATTTTACATTAGTAATAATTTACATTAGTAACATTTTATATAGCAACATTTTATATTGTCACTATTTTATATTAGTAACATTTTACATTAACAACATTTTATATTAAATGGTAAATGGTAAATGGACTGTACTTATATAGCGCCTTTCTATCTTATTTCAAGATACTGAAAGCGCTTTATACTACAATCTGTGTCCTCATTTACCCATTCATCCAGCACTCTACTATATCTCTACAAAGCTAATTGAACAAATCGTTCTAATGAGACTAATCAGTGCTTTAGATCACATTCATACACTGATGGGACACACATCAGAGGCTGTGAGGGGTTCAGTGTCTTGCCCAAGGACACTTCGACATGTTACTGCTGGTGGATTTGAACCCCCAACTCTCACATTGGAGGACGACTGCTCTAACCATTCAGCCACAGCCGCCCCCTTTTATTAGAAACATTGCAGAGGTAGGGCAGCCGGCCCGGGACCTGAAAGTCCCAGGTTCGATCCCCGGTCACTGCTCACCTCTTGGTGTCTCTGCGCAGCACACCTCAACATGTATCTAAGATTGATTGGTAACTCTGAATTGTCCCTAGGTGTGAGTGAGAGTGAATGGTTGTTTGTGTCGTTTGTCTCTGTGTATCCCTGTGATGGACTTGCGATCTGTCCAGGGTGTACCCCGCCCCTTGCACAGTGATTGCTGGACATGGGCACGGCGACCCCCGTGACCCAAAATGGAAGAAGCGGGTAAAAAATCATGGATGGATGGATGGATGGATGAAGTTAAATATTTTGAAAAGTATAAAAGTAGCAAAAGCATTGACCCTGACTCGTGAATTAGCTAAATGTTGATATATAAACGATAAAACCAGTACAAAGTATACAGAATGAGTTGGCAGCCATAAATCATTACAGATGGGATAAAGAATAACAAAAAAAAAACCAGGATCACTGCAGTGGGAATTCTGACTCAGAATTTAAACAATGATTCTGAATGGACAAGACATTTTAATGCGTTATTATGGAAACATCCATCCATCCATCCATTCTCTTCCTCTTATCCGGGGTTGGGTCGCGGAAGTAGCAGCCTAAGTAGGGAGGCCCAGACTTCCCTTTCCCCAGCCACTTGTGCCAACTCCTCAGAGGGAATCCCAAGGCGTTCCCAGGCCAGCCGAGAAACATAGTCCCTCCAGTGTGTCCTGTTTCTTCCTCTGGGTCTCTTCCTAGTAGGACGTGCCCGGAACACCTCACAAGGGAGGTGTCCAGGAGGCATCCTAATCAGATTTCCGAGCCACCTCAACTGGCTCCTCTCGATGTGGAGAAGCAGCATCTCTACTCTGAGTCCTTCCCGGATGACCGAGCTTCTCACCCTATCTCTAAGGGAGAGCCCAGACACCCTGCGTAGAAAACTCATTTTGGTCGCCTGTATCAGTGATCTCATTCATTTGGTCACAACCCAAAGCTCATGACCATAGATGAGGGTAGTAACAGAGATCGACCGGTAAATTGAGAGCTTCGCCTTTTGACTCAGCTCTCTCTTCACCACAACAGATTGGTACAGCGCCCGCTTCACTGCTGACGCTACGCATATCAATCTCACTCTCCATTTTTCCCTCATTCGTGAACAAACCCTGAGATACAGTACTTAAACTCCTCCACTTGGGGCAGGACCTCTTCCCCGACCCGGAGAGGGCACTCTACCCTTTTCCGGTTCAAGACCATGGCCTCGGATTTGGAGGAACTGATTATCATCTTGGCTGCGTCACACTCTGCTGCGAACTGCTCCAGCGAAAGCTGTAGATGAAGCCTATAGGACCACATCATCTGCAAAAAACAGAAGCGATCCTAAGGCCACCAAAACGGATCCCCTCAACACCTTGGCTGCGCCTAGAAATTCTGTCCATAAAAGTTATGAACAGAATAGGTGACAAAGGGCAACCTTGACGGAGTCCAACTCTCACTGGGAACAAGCCTGACTTACTGCCGGCAATGCAGACCAAGCTCTGAGACCGGTCGTACAGAGACCTAACAGCCCATATCAAAGGGCCTGGTACCCCATACTCCCGGAGTACCCCCCACAGGGCTCCCTGAGGGATGCGGTCAAACACCTTCTCCAAGTCCACAAAGCACATGTAGACCGGTTGGGCAAACTCCCATGCACCTTCCAGGACCCTGCTGAGAGTGTAGAGCTGGTCCAGTGTTCCATGACCAGGACGAAAACCGCACTGCTCCTCCTGAATCCAAGGTTCGACTATCCAATGGACCCTCCTCTCCAGAACCCCCGAATAGACCTTACCAGGGAGGCTTAAGAGTGTGATCCCCCTGTAGTTGGAGCACACTCTACGGTCCCCATTTTTGAATAGGGGTACCACCACCCCAGTCTGCCAATCCAGGGGAACTGCCCCCGATGTCCACGCAATATTGCAGAGTCGTGTAAGCCAACACAACCCTACAACATCCAGGGCCTTAAGGAACTCTGGGCGAATCTCATCCACCCCTGGGGCCCTGCCACCGAGGAGCTTTTTAACCACCTCGGTGACCTCAGCACCAGAGATTGTAGAGTCCGACCCAAAGTCCCCAGGCTCTGCTTCCTCAGTGGAAGATGTGCCAGTTGGTTTGAGGTCTTCCAAGTATTCTGCCCACCGACCCACGACATCCCGAGTTGAGGTCAGCAGCACACCACCTCCACTATAAATAGTGTTGGTGTCGCTTGGAAACAGTATTTTTATTTACCATAGTTGAATATTTTGAAAAGTATAAATTTTAGAAAAACCAAAAGCACCCTGACAGTTTTGATAAATGATGTAAATAGTACAAATTCTGCCAAAATTATGTGGATTGTAAAGAACATAAACATTTAAACAAATACATCTTTTCCTGTGTTTTAGGTTTGAGAATGATGCCTGGGTTCATGACATGAGAAAGATTACTTTCTGCTTCATGAAACCCTGTGAGAACTTCCTTTGTTATGTTTAGTTTTCTTGCTTAAATGTGTTTGTGAACGCAGGACATGGCGACAGCAACAGCCGCAACATCCCAACTCTGGTCAAAGACATCAGCAACGTTGGAGAGGTGTCTTGTGGCAGCTCTCACACTATTGCGCTGTCCAAGGATGGACGCACTGTTTGGTCCTTCGGAGGAGGGGACAATGGTGGGTGAACCTGTTGTGTCACGTGATTAATATCATTACAAATAATATATAATAATAACATATAGTCTTTGTTTGGTTCAGTTTTCAGTGTTTCATTTTTGTCAGTTTCATATCACTGCTGTATGTTCTCCAGGAAAACTAGGACATGGTGATACTAATCGAGTCTACAAACCAAAAGTGGTGGAAGCTCTGCAGGGAATGTTCATCAGGAAAGTGTGCGCAGGAAGCCAGTCGTCCCTGGCCTTAACCTCCACTGGACAGGTAGGACGTCACCTGGCCTGTCAGACTGAAGCAGTCTTTGAGCCCTTCAGGTCCTGGCAGGGTTTACAGGAAAGACTTACATGTCTGGTGCAGTTTTTTTCTTGGACTGATGGAGCAGAAGTTTTGTCAGATTTCATTAGTGTCCACTTGATCATCACCCACTGCCAAAGATGTAACAATGTTTCTGCCTGTGAGTGAGTTTGTATTTTTAGTGAAACGTCTCATGAACCACTGAATGGATTTTAGGTAAACTCACAAAGCAACCGTTGGCTTTACATCTACATCTGATTAACGGTCACTTACCTTGGCAGGGCGCTCTTCTGTGATTTTTGTTGACAATAGTTCTCGACCGAAGGGGTGGGTGGGGTTAAGGAAACGACTCAGCATGAGGGAGATGGAGCGCTACTTGTAACTTTTTAGCTAGCACGTCTGCATTGCGCACCGCTTGCTTAACGCTACGGCAGTGCCATCAGTTGTTGATGTGGGCGGCGGGGGGGACAGTTCGCTAAGCAGGGCCCTCGGTTCAGTTAACGGGATGAGGCGCCCTCCTTTGTTAATGGTAGGGGAAACACTGAGCTATGACTCAGACAGTTTTACAGTTACGGTATTTACCTCACATTTGGTGTGGTAGTAGCTGAGAGTTTTATTCAAATTCAATTCAAATTCAAATTCAAAAATACTTTATTAATCCCAGAGGTAAATTAAATGTTGTTGTAACTCATCATCCTGGTTTAATTAAAGAGTTGTTCTAGATAATGATGGCTGTGGGCAGGAAGGATCTCTTGTAGCGTCTGTCCTACAACGGATCTGAAGAAGCCTCTGACTGAAGACACTCTGTTGTGGTATGACAGTCTGTTGTTGTATGACAGTCTGATGAAGAGGATGCTGAGGGTTGTCTATAATGTTCTTCATTTTATGAAGAATCCTTCTTTGAACAATCATCTCCAGAGGTTCTAGAGGAGTCCCCAGAACTGAGCCAGCCTTCTTTATGAGCTTCTTGATCTTTTTGAAGTCTCTTGCTCTGGTGCTGCTCCCCCAGCAGATGATGGCAGAAGAGACAGCTCTCTCTACAACAGACTTATAGAAGATATGCAGCATCTTGCTGCAAACACTGAAGGACTTCAGCTTCCTCAAGAAGTACAGTCTGCTCTGTTCCTTCTTGTAGACGCTTCACTGTTGCATTTCCAGTCCAGTCTATTGTCCAGGTGAACCCCAAGGTATTTATACTTCTCCACCACCTCCACTTCTTCTCCCATGATGGAAATAGGGTTGGACCTGTTCCTGATTCTCCTGAAATCTACAGTCATCTCCTTTGTTTTGTTCACATTCAAGATGAGATGATTGTTTCCACACCATGCCACAAAGTGGTCCACTAGTTCCTTGTACTCAGCTTCTTGTCCAACTCTGATACACCCGACCACTGCAGAGTCATCAGAATATTTCTGCAGATGACAGGAGTCTGTTTTATACTGGAAATCTGAGGTGTACAGAGTGAAAAGGAGTGGTGAGAGTACAGTCCCCTGTGGTGCTCCTGAGCTACTGACCACCTGGTTAGACACACAACCTTCAGTCTCACAAACTGTGGTATGTCTGTCCGTCAGGTAGTCTTTGATCCAGGTGATTGTTGAGGCCTCCACCTGAGTCTTCTGGAGTTTCTGACAAAGCAGATCAGGCTGGATTGTGTTAAACGCACTGGAGAAATCAAAGAACATGACTCTCACAGTGCTGTCTGCCTTTTCTAGATGACAGTGAGTTTGCTGAAGCAGGTGTATCATGGCATCTTCAACTCCAAGTCCACGCTGATAAGCAAACTGCAGTGGGTCCTGATATGTGCTTGTTTGTCTAGTCAGGTGGGTCAGCAGAAGTCTCTCTAGGATCTTCACGATGTGGGATGTCAGGGCAACAGGTCTATAGTCATTGAGGACTGATGGGTGAGGTTTCTTTGGGACTGGAACAAGACAGGAGGTTTTCCACAACACTGGAACCTTCTCCTGGGTCAGGCTAAGGTTGAAGAGGTGCTGCAGAACCCCACATAGCTGCTCTACACAGACCTTCAGGACTCTGGGACTGACACCATCTGGACCTGCAGCCTTACTCTGGTTCAGTCTCTCCAGCTGCTATACAACACATACACTAAGGCTCTGTTTACACTGCAGGCAAAAGCAGCCCAAATTAGATTTTTTTATCATATGCGTCTCAAATAAGTAAAAAAAAAAAAAAAAAATTAAGTAACAATCTGAATGTGACAAGTCAGATTTTTAAAAATCAGACCCATGTCTTTTTCATACGCAGTGTATATCCACACAGATACACATCAGAAGTTTTCAAGGCAACTTCGGTCTGAACGGTCATGTTGCATTTCATCCAACTCACGTCAGTCAGGTGGTGGTATGTGGATCAATCAAGCTATTGATCGTTTAGACAACCTTGTGCAGTTTAAATCTTAAACTCTGCACGTTTTCAGCCACAGAGCAGAAGTCCGTCTGCTTCCTGTTTTTATTTTAGTTTCCCATGAATGACTGAAAATCTAGAGCAACAAATGATACCAACGATGGTTTCAGACTGTATGGAAGCTAATGTGATTGGATCAATACTTGTGTTTGTTCCTACCTTCAATACCTGTTCCCAAAATACACTAGTGCATCAGAGTGGCTGGCAGATTAAGCAGTGGACAAAACAATCATGTTGGATAATGATTTAATGGGTTTTGATTGCACAACAACCTCTGAATCAATACACACATGCTAACATGTAGCATACACATTTACTTCCTTAAACAGAGCATGCTGCGTGTGACATCACATCATCTGAATGTGCAGGTCACTTCAGGCCCGTAGAGCGCTCACACTGGAGCTTGATGACAAATTTGAACCAAAACAGCTACGATTCTTTTTGTTTCCAAGCTGAAAATCTTTTGTTTGTGTTTCATTTTGAATGTCCTCACCTTTGTTCAGGTGTATGCTTGGGGCTGTGGCGCCTGCCTGGGCTGCGGTTCGTCTGAAGCTACAGCACTGCGGCCCAAACTGATCGAAGAGCTGGCTACGACCCGAGTAGTGGACATTTCCATTGGGGACAGTCACTGCCTGGCCCTGTCTCATGGTGCTCCTCTTTGCTTCCATTAACATGATGTTGCAGTCAACACATACGTTTAATGTGAGTTCTTGTGTTCTGATCCTTAAACCTTCTCCAGACAATGAAGTGTACGCATGGGGCAACAACTCCATGGGTCAGTGTGGACAAGGGAACTCCACAGGACCCATCACCAAACCCAAGAAGGTGGTTGGCCTGGACGGTGTTGCTGTTCAGCAAATCTCAGCGGGGACATCCCACAGCCTGGCCTGGACTGCTCTGCCCAGAGACAGGTGACCTTGAAGATGTCACAGTACCACTGAACTCAGAACTAAGTGTTCCCAACTCAAAAACCTGCAGGTGTCTGCAGGGCTGCAGACAGTTGTCTTTCTCTAAAGGGGCTTGGCAAAAACAGTTTGAGAACCATTCATTTAATGCAAATGTAAAACTGACCAGGAGTGGAAATAAAAGTTATGAAAAGCACAACTTTAAGTCACAGGCTGTTGGTGTGACAGTAAGGATGCACATTTTAAGCAAAACCATTCTTTAATTTTCTTGGGTAACTCGATGTTTCAGAACAGCGGCTCAGTTGGTAGAGCTGCCACCTCTCAGCGAGAAGGTCGCTGGATCGAATCTTGACTGGGGACCGTAGAGTTTGCATGTTCTCTCCGTGCATGCGTGGGTTTTCTACAGGTACTCCAGTTTCCTCCCACAGACCAAAAACATGCATGTTAGACTGATTGGTAACTCTAAATTGTCTGTAGGTGTGAGTGAGAGAGAGTGAATGGTTGTTTGTCTCTATTTAAGATAAGACAGAACTTTATTGATCCTGCAGGAAATTGTTGTGCCAGAGTTTCAGTACAAAGAAACACAAGGAATCACACAAGATATAAAAATAAGAGAGAATATAAAAATACCAACAGTTAAGGTCTAAAACAGGTCAGGTGCAGACAGAAACATTAAAGTGTTTATTTTAATTAATTTTAATTCAATTCAATTCAGTTTATTTATATACAGGTCCTTCTCAAAAAATGAGCATATTGTGATAAAGGTCATTATTTTCCATAATGTAATGATAAAAATGAAACTTTCATATATTTCAGATTCATTGCACACCAACTGAAATATTTCAGGTCTTTAATTGTTTTAATACTGATGATTATGGCATACAGCTCATGAAAACCCAAAATGTCTGTCCCAAAAAATGAGCATATTTCATCCCACCAATGAAAGACAAGTGTTTTTAATACAAAAAACGCCAACCTTCAAATAATCATGTTCAGTTATGCACTCAATACTTGATCGGGAATCCTTTTGCATGAATGACTGCTTCAATGCGGCGTGGCATGGAGGCAATCAGCCTGTGGCACTGCTGAGGTGTTATGGAGGCCCAGGATGCTTCGATAGCGGCCTTAAGCTCATCCAGAGTGTTGGGTCTTGGTCTCTCAACTTTCTCTTCACAATATCCCACAGGTTCTCTATGGGGTTCAGGTCAGGAGAGTTGGCAGGCCAATTGAGCACAGTAATACCATGGTCAGTAAACCATTTACCAGTGGTTTTGGCACTGTGAGCAGGTGCCAGGTCGTGCTGAAAAATGAAATCTTCATCTCCATAAAGCTTTTCAGCAGATGGAAGCATGAAGTGCTCCAAAATCTCCTGATAGCTAGCTGCATTGACCCTGCCCTTGATAAAACACAGTGGACCAACACCAGCAGCTGACATGGCACACCAGTGACTGTGGAAACTTGACACTGGACTTCAAGCAATGTGAATTCTGTGTCTCCTCTCTTCCTCCAGACTCTGGGAACTTGATTTCCAAAGGAAATGCAAAATTTACTGTAATCAGAGAACATAACTTTGGACCACTCAGCAGCAGTCCCAGGCGAGATGCTTCTGACGCAGTCTCTTGTTCAAAAGTGGCTTGACCTGGGGAATGCGGCACCTGTAGCCCATTTCCTGCACACGCCTGTGCACGGTGGCTCTGGATGTTTCTACTCCAGACTCAGTCCAGTGCTTCCGCAGGTCCCCCAAGGTCTGGAATCGGCCCTTCTCCACAATCCTCCTCAGGGTCCGGTCACCTCTTCTCGTTGTGCAGCGTTTTCTGCCACACTTTTCCCTTCCCACAGACTTCCCACTGAGGTGCCTTGATACAGCACTCTGGGAACAGCCTATTCGTTCAGCAATTTCTTTCTGTGTCTTACCCTCTTGCTTGAGGGTGTCAATGATGGCCTTCTGGACAGCAGTCAGGTCGGCAGTCTTACCCATGATTGTGGTTTTGAGTAATGAACAAGGCTGGGAGTTTTTAAAAGCCTCAGGAATCTTTTGCAGGTGTTTAGAGTTACGTCGTTGATTCAGATGGTTAGGTTAATAGCTTGTACAGAGAACCTTTTCATGATATGCTAATTTTTTGGGACAGGCATTTTGGGTTTTCATGAGCTGTATGCCATAATCATCAGTATTAAAACAATTAAAGACCTGAAATATTTCAGTTGGTGTGCATTGAATCTGAAATATATGAAAGTTTCATTTTTATCATTACATTATGGAAAATAATGACCTTCATCACAATATGCTAATTTTTTGAGAAGGACCTGTTTGACAATTTAGGTCAAAATACTATAATTTTAAAGGCACTGTACTATAGTTCATCATTTCTTATCTGGAAACATGACTGACATGGAAACGACAGTGTTTTTGTGTAAAGCCGCTCATTGGTTCTAGAATTGCGCCGCTCAAGGTGGCTGCATGTTGGAGCAGCTCTGTTACTTGCATTCTGAGATTTTGCTTTTGGAAACTTGTAATTCCTCTTTTTCTGGATGTAAATCACATTTTTTGGATGATTGTTTCCTCTGGTATCGGATGCTGTGCAGCTGGAAGGATTTTTACGGAAACTTTTTTAGTTTTGGACATTTGTTATGATGCGTAACCATGGCAACAAGGCAGTTTCTACAACCAACAGCAGCTGATTAACATCTCAAAAGCTCAAGTAATATCTCAACTAAAGCCCTAAATTTCAAATGAGTTGAAAAGGATGTTCTGTGGACACATTTTCATTTACCTGCCAGCTGTGCTCGAGTGCCTGACCATTGAGATCCTGGAACTAGCAGGAAACACGGCTCATGACAGCAGAAGGACAGGATCGTCCATCAGCACCTACAGTTGGCTGTCCGCAGCGACGAGGAGCTCAACAAGCTGCTGGGAGGAGTGGCCATCGCCCTGGGAGGATTTCTGCCCAACATTCAGGTGATCCTGAAGCCCAGGAGGCCAACCAAGTGCAAGTAAACAGATCAACATCTGTGGCCAGTTTTTTCAGATCTGCTATAAGACGGACCATCACAAGAGATCCTTCCCGCCCACAACCATCAACATCTAGAACAACTCTTTTATGAAACAAGGAAAATGAGCTACAACATTTAATTTCCCTCTGGGATTAATAAAGTATTTTTGAATTGAATTGAATTGAATTTTCTGTTTATTAACACCGATAACAGCAACAAACTCAAAGCTACGCTCGGCAGAATGCAGATCTTAAAGTCATCTACCTGGAAGCTGCAGCAGAGGCGTTCCAGCGGGCAGAAGAGGAAGCGCTGCTCCCGGCTTAAGAGGAGAGGATGCCGGGCGGGGGTTATGGTGAGGCTACGAGCTAACGCTAAAGCCGGTAAACTCCCCATGCCGTCTCTCTTTCTGTCGAATGTCCGCTCGTTGGACAACAAGATGGATTTACTTCGTCTGAGAGCGGGCGCCTCAGAAGAGATGAAGAAGTGTGCAAAGCTTTGCCTCACAGAAATGTGGATTACAAGCGAAACGCCGGACACAGTCTTCCAGCTGGATGACAGACTTTTTTTTCGAGCGGACCGCTGCAGCGAGCTAACGGGGAAATCACGGGGAGGCGGAGTGTGCATTTACGTGAGTAAAAGTTGGTGCACAAACTGTACTGTTGTAAATAGCTCATGCTCGAAGGCTTTGGAGCAAATAACAGTGAAATGTCAGCCACATTATCTACCCCGAGAGTTCACAGTGACTTTTATCACAGTTGTTTACATTCCTCCGGACGCTAATGCTAATGAATCACTACAGGAGCTACATGATATCATCAGCTCGCTGCAGAGCAAACACCCCGAGGCTCTTTACATTGTAGCCGGAGACTTTAACCACGTGAATCTAAAGGACTGTCTCCCAAGCTTTAATCAACATGTGACGATTCCAACACGTGGAGACCGCACGCTGGACCGTGTTTACACGAACGTAAAAGATGCATACAAAGCCGAACCCCGCCCCCACCTAGGACTGTCAGACCACATCTCAATCTTCCTGACTCCTGCTTACATGCCCCCGCTGAGACGCTCCAGACCGGT